TCAGCAGGTCTGAAATTAATTGCTGAAAACTTTCCTTCACGTATAAATCAAAAGCAACAAAACACAAAATAATCAGGGCCAATTCTCAGCAGCAACAGTGCTGGATCTAGAAAGTTTTGGACAGACTAATCTGAACAATATCAATTATAAAACACCAGAAAAAAAATGCATACTTGGCCTCCCCTTTGGCTCCACCCATGAGCAGCAGATCAGTAATCCAAACTTAGTGAGTTTTAGGGCAGCGGTACAGTAGTAAAGTTTTGACTCCATCTCTTTAATCGTTTACAGCGCGTGCCCTGCCTTCAGCTTTTCTTCAACATTTAGCTTTGTCTGCACTGTCTGCTGGCCACCGGTCCCAGAGTTGCCCAGCCATCTAGCAGCATGGCGGAGTCCCAGCAGCCAGATCAGCCAACCAGCACACAGCAGGACACTGGAGATGCTGAGCATATCGCTGTGACTTCTCAACCAGCCAGCGTGGAGCAACAAACCCTGTCCCCAGCAACAGATGCTCCTGAGGATGATCAAAGAGAGGAGGGACAAGCAATGGACCATCTGGCAGTAACCAGTGACAACATGGAGACTAGTAAATGCAACAGCTGTCAGCTTGTGCATGACCCTTCATTAACACCTCCTAGAAACCATGACACTTTATTTTCGGTTATAAGACAGAGAAAGAGCCAACCATTCTCCGGCTTAGAGCAACTGTATGTCATCTTTTGAACATCAGGCACATGAATTTTTTTATCTGAAATTTTGAACTCTTTAGAAATGTTTTAAAATTCCAAAAGGGACTGTTCATTGCCAGAAGGGTCAAGGAGTAGGCAGACCAGACAGTCAGGGAACAGACACAAATCATAAGTCTGGAACTAGTAGTGGTCAAATACTACAAAGCAAACACCTCAGAGGGGAGCAGGCAGAGGTAATATCCAAAAAACATCCAGGTAGGCAACCGAGAAGTCATACATAGCAGCACCAGATAATCACAGACAAAGGTCAAGATGAGAATCTGGCAACGAGTGAAGGCAGACTGTTGGTTATATAATGGGAGCTGATTACACCAACGAGACACAGTTGAGTGAGGGTGGTGAGAAGCAGCTGCATCTGAAAGAACAAGGGGCACACATGATGAGAAAAGAAATGTAAACAAAACCAGTAATTATAGTAGTCAAATGTGAATCACAACAATTGTTAACGTCAGGGCTGGTTGGGTATAATTTGCTTTTTATCATGAGTATCTGGTTCCAATTCTGATTTTTAGATTAAGTATGAAAGTAAACCAAAATATTTTCTTAGCACATTATTTATAAAAATGATTAGGCATTTTGTGATTATGTTGTTGTTTTGTAATTTTCTTATTGTTGACAAATTATGTGAAAAGACCCATATAAGTCTCATTTTAAAAAGGCTCAGTAATTTGTCATTTTTCAGTCCCTTAATCCTCTTTGCCGACTCCTTCTCTTCCAGGTAATGGTATTGGTCCAGTGATAGTTGACTCTTCACCCACAGCACCCGCTATTTCACCTCAGCAGCAAGCTAAGCTCAGAAACCAAACTAACGGCCGCCCCCGTTTGGGCAGCCGGTCTGGCTCACTGGCGGCAAGTTCTCCCCGGCCCTCACTCACTCGCCAGCCCAGTGCTATCATAGAGGGGCCTGTGGACGGATCTAAACCGAGGGACTACCTCGTCCTGGCCATCTTGTCTTGCTTGTGCCCAATGTGGCCCATCAACATCGTAGCCCTCACCTTCTCCGTGATGGTACGACTTCAGACTGGGTTGTTTGTATAGAAATAAATGGAAAAGCCGACAAAATACCAATTAGCTTATGAGACAATAAAACTCTCCATTGAAAAGCAGATCTGTTTCCTGCAGTTTATGCTGATGATTTGCAACAGTGAGAAGGTTTTGACAGAAATGTCTCCTGGATTACAGTTTATCAACCTAACAGGAAAATGTTTTTAATGAATACGCCTGTAGTTAATATCATATTTTCAAATAAATTATGTTGATGAAAAGAAAAAAAAACAGTTGCTTCTACAAGTGTCACAACTTCTAGAAATACCGATTCAAACCTTTGTGGAATGAGTCTCAATCTAAAGTCAGGTTGAAGCTACAGTAATCAGTTTTAGTCGGTAGGGAGCAACATGATCATGCCAGTGACGTTAGCTCTGGTTTGGTCTTTACTGACTTTTTAGCTGCTAAATACGCCACTGGGTTCACCAGCTTGTCTCTAACTGTGTCTGTTGTTTGCTGCTGAGCAGGTGGTTTACAGTCCATTTATCGGAGCTTGTTTGATGAACACAACTGCCTACTGCTGCTAAAAACACAGAGACAGAACCAGGCAAGAAATGTGACACAAAACCAAAACAAGGACCTAAAAAGGCTAAAAAGCTCAACAGAGCTGCAGTTTTTCAACCAGTTTCCATGACAAATTTGCACTGTTGACCCATGACCCAGAGCAAAATTTCTTCACCCTGTGTTTTTCCTCAGTCCCGAAACAGTCTGCAGCAGGGTAATGTAGACGGAGCTCGCCGTCTGGGTCGTAACGCCATGATTCTGTCTGTTGTGTCCATTTTGGGAGGGATTGCCATCATTGCTGCAGCTATTGCCTTCAACTGGGGATGTAAGTAACATCTGCTTTTCTCAACCTTCCCATAAATTTCTCCATCAAGAGCTTTCTGACATGTTCTGACAATATTCTGTACCAGCTTGTTCCAGATTTTCTTTTTGAAACCATACAGTGTTTACAAGATCTTTGTTAGTCTGCAGTATCATGAACTGTGTTTAGTTAAATTGAGTTTAGGCTAAAAATCTGTGACTATGACCATCACATCTGAGAAAGCCAGTTGGACTTGCTCTCTAGGAGTGTGTCTTATGTGCCCAGTGTATCTTGCTATTTTCTTGTCTGAAATCAATCAATCAATCAATCAATAATGCACATTTTCTCATTTTCTGTCTTTGTTTCAATGTATTCACAGGAGGAATCTAAGCCTTAGTCTTTTCTCTCTCCAGTGATATTAAAATCCTGATCAAACTGCCTGGAATAGCGAGACCGACTTCATGACAACATGTAAACCAACACAACACCTTCCCCCCGTTCCCAAAGCACTATCGTTCTCAAGCTCCTGCACCAGATGAAAAATAAATAAAAACTCGTTCCTATTCTTTGCTGTTGTTTCTTGCTGCACGACAAGCATGGTCTGCCTGACGCTCTACCTCCGACACAACCAACAAACCAACTCCTGACACCAGTGATCAGTCTGGACTTAGGAGGAGGAAAGGATCGATCACCAGATACTTTTTTCATTGTGTGCTAGCAGTTTCTTTCATTCTCAGACTGCTTTCTCCTGCTATATTTCCTCTCATTGTTGAACAAGTATATCTTCTGTCATGGAAATGGACATGTACCACTGTGGGAATGGGATCAAACTGATCTGTAAATGCATCTCCAAGCCACAGGTCCCATAGTGGAGCAAATTGGAGGATATGGTTTTCACTTTTTAATGCCAAAAAAACATTAGAAACTTGGTCTAAGCTGAACTGAACCCGGGAGATGCTGCTGCTGCGATAGTTCAACATGAACTGAAGAGGAACTGTCAGTCTTGTTGCTATGAAGGCAGAAAAGACAAATGGAGCAATCTGTGATGTGAGAAAGCACAGGACTGTTCCATCATCCACCAGTTACTGTTCTGTTTATTGTGCACACATAAAAACACAGAGGGAGACACGTCAACACTGCTGCTACTCGGCCGTCACATTATAGAGACAGAAGCACAGACATCACGTCTGCTCCACCATCTTCTCTAACTCAGTACGAGCTCTCATTCAGCATTTCTTTCATCATTCTTTCTGAGAGTTTTTAGTGTGTTTCTGGAGTTCCTATTCTAAGACAAATTGCCACCTGCTTCATTTGTTATTAGAACTTTAAACCTGACAAAGTTAAATCTTTATTTTGTCCATATCTATACAAAGTTTTCTTCTGAAGTCATTTTCCCAGTTTTAAATCAATCACGGCTTCTAAAAAAACCTCATCTCACCTAGTGCTCATCTGTTTTGACATTCAGCCTGCAAAGATCCAGGGCTTATAGGGAATGCTGTTCATTAAAGGCCACTAAAAACTGAAACATTATAATATTAGTTTTTCTAGCATCAAATTACCACCATTGTCCTGACATACAAAATGAGCCACACAGCATAAGCCTTAAGAAAGACTGTTCCCAGGCTGGATTTGAAGTTGTTAGTATTGTTACAAATGTCACTGGGATTTTGAATGAAGTTTTCTTACTTCTGGAACAAATCCTGGAAGTTCTGACTTCACTTTGGCTCTCTACCACTCTAACTGTAATTACTAGATGGTGTTTGTTAAAAGCTGCTAAAAGCAGAATTATAAACTGATATCACATTGCCGAGGTTTAAGAAGCTGACATGTAATCATGCCACTGTTTGCGAACCTTTGTTGTATGTCTTCATTCCTCTTTAGAAATTAGGGTCATTTCTTGTCTTCTCTCCACTGTCAACTATCTTAAACTTAAGTAAGAACTGCCAAGAAATTTTAAAATTATTATTCTTGTTCTATTTCTAATTGTTTATATAACTTATATAACTTTTGAAAGAGATCACAAAACATCACAAAGGTTCTAGTTTCAGCTCTCCATAACTCCATGAGCTGTTTTAGAAAGACAGGATATAAGTTAGATCAGTGATTGTAAAAAAAAAAAGAAAGAAAAGAAGTGAAGTTGTGATGTTCTATCAGACAGAAAGAGACTGGGTGAAGCAGAGCAATATAAAGTATGTTGTGTACTGAGTTGTGATCGTCTGGACGTCTGGGTGCAGTTCTTTGCTTGATTTCAGCCAAGTCCCTCTGATTCAGAAATATTTAATTCTTCTTTGTGACCAGAGAAGGTGCAGCATTTCCATTTAATGGACATAATCTGATAAACAGTTTGATGTGATTTTTTTTTGTGATATCACTGCCTTCATTTAATTTATGCGATTAAGATTACGTTTACACAAGAGATCTTGTCTCTTGAGTGTTCAGGTTCCCACAACATGATCTAATGTGAGACGGATTTCTTCTGTTTTGTAAGCCTGTTTCTTCATCTTCAAGGCCAGAAATGGTTGAGCTTTTTCTTTGATGTAAATGGAGACTCACTTGTTATCACTGTTGATAATGTAGCCCGGTCTTTTGTTTTTTTACAATGCCTGTTGTTTATGTGAATCATTTCATGAAACTCTGTCTTGGTTTCTTTTACTTTGCAGGTATGTGGGTATTTTTAAATACAGAAAACATCTAGTTTAGAGTAGTTCCCATTAAGCTGTGACACAAATGGGGCATGTCCACTCTAAGAGTATGGGAACACCAAACATCAAGTACAGTCAGTCGAATTAGTATCAATGCTACTGGTGTTACCAATAATAACTGAAGCATGACTAAAGGATAGGTTCATACTTTTTCCAAGGCTGTCTTAAAAACAGTATTCACATGCCAATATGGACATTAAAACAGTTTTTGCAAAATGTATTTCGAAACTGATCTGAAGCTAATCACAGTGATATCTTCTGCAGTTTTAGTACCAAATTCCTTCATTCATTTTGTTTTCCCTAGCATTGTTTCCTTGTTCGGAATTGGGACAAAGAAAAACAGAGGCAGTTTTGCACAAAATAGACTGTTCTACTTTAAAACATCACATCATTCAACTAAACCTTGTATTTTTGAAACTTGTCTCCAAACACTTATATGCAATTCATTTTGATTTGTGATTAAGCAGAGCAGTTTGTCTGAGGAAACCTCATCTACAGCTTGAAACTACTGTAAGTTCCACTACTGCATTTGGTTAATTACCAAACCCAAGATCTGGCATTTTGTTCTTGTTGAAAGATGGTCCTGGGCCAGAACTAATTTCACACATGCTGGTCTTAGTAAACATCTTTGTAAAAACTCAGCAGTCGGGCACTTGGTGCAACTCTGGTTATGATGTGGCACCACTGAAGGTTTATTGGCTGATTAACAGATTGATTTTTTTACACTTTCATAAAACTCATCTTGACCTTGTCTAGTCAGTGTTCTCTCAGCTTTCAAAGTCTCAGTGTGACGCTGTGCCAAACACCTGAGTGTGTGCCAATCTGCACAGATACAGTCCTCTTGCTTTAGCCTGTCTCTGCACACAGAAAATGTGTCTGTGCTAACAGACACTTTGAGGACAGATTGTTTTGAGGGGGGGATCTTTGAGAATCTCTTGTTATGGATCTAATTCAGCCCTTCATCTCCTATATCCTGTGCATGTTTACAGTATTTATTACAGTATGCTGTTACATATGAATGTAGCCTCATTTAGCAGGAGAGCTGAGTAGCACTTTGTAAATAAACATATAAGAAATTTTGCTCCCAGTAAAGATAGCCCCTTTTTCCTCTTTGGATTGTCATGGAAATATAACTGATCCATGATCAATGTGAAGTTAAACATGCACACGAACCGTGGGTTTTATTTTTGAAGATGCCGCTGCCATGAAGACTCAGAGGTTTGTTTGAAGGGTCAAAGTAGTGACACCTTTGAACTTTGCACCAGCCAGATGGTGTCTCCCTGTAAAGCTAAGGTCAGGCTCAGAGGTGGAGGGTCTTTTAATGCTGCATTCACGTCATATGAGGAGAATGGTCTCTGGCCAACTAAACAACTTGTGAGCGTTCACTTCATTAAGGTGATTCCTTCAGGTGGTTTGGTTTTCCAGTTCCACCATATTCTTTAGTTAAATTGAAGAGTTTCCCTGGTGCATGCGATTATAATTTAGATGTTAATGAATGTTGTCTACAAGTCAGAAATACGTAATCACCATAGCCCCAGTATGACGTGAACATGGCATAAAGTCACCTCCATTCTGCCTCCATTTCCACTCCACCTACTCCTGTACTGTATGTAGCATGCCTGCTAACTAAACACATTATGCAAAAACAAACAAAAAAAGGGCCCAGCATGGTGTCAGTATGAATGCTAGCTTTCCTGATTTTTGCTATAGCAGTGTACTCGTACAGTTTTTTTTATGGAATTTGCTTGTGCCACCTCTTAGAGTTACCTACAGTGTTTTCTCAACTATGGTTTCACTTTAAAGAGTTTACCTGACTGTTGAATCTCTTGTGCTATTGTTTGTATTTTGCTGTGTTGGATATTTTCACTGCTAACATTGTAATTCTAATAATAATGTGCAGGGTTTTAATTGTGAACACAATTCCACAAATTTATACAGTCATCTTAAATGTAACTGTAAATACAATAACTTCTAAATATACAGTATATACCGTATAAACATAAAACTGTCAGGTTGTCTTACATTAAGAAATGAAACGTTCTGAGGAAGATTCAGCAGAGACGTTTTTCATCTGTAACAGAACGTAAATGTTCATGAAGTTACTGTACTGATGAAAAGATGGATATGTGTTCAGAGTAGTCACTTTTAATATAAACTTCAAACAGCCATTACAAAGTAGGAAACAAAACCAATCTGTAATAACTTTTAATTCATGGATTGTGGTAATGAACGCACAGGCTAAGTAAATTACATTGTACATTGGCTATTGGGAAAACTTAACTCTCAGTCAGTAATAATGAGCAAGCCCCCCCACCCCAATATTCCAGCATGGCAGTATGTAAAAAAATAAATAAATAAAACCACGCTGCTGTACTCTTTGTTGTTTTGTAAGTAGACAATGAAGGTCCTGTATGAACAGGAATAATAAATTAAATAAGGCTGTTGTAATCAAATTACATTGATACACCAGCCCAATATGGGACTAATCTAAGTCCAGTATCAGACTGATATACATGTCGTGTTAAATAGGATCATATAAAAACATTTCCTGAAAATCTTCCTCAGGGCTTCTCATTTCAAATATGCAGTCAAGTGTACAGTACCTGAAGGTACAGAAGCTGTGTTTTGGTTCATTTGACATTTCCAACACTTTAAGTGGCTCCTGACAGAAGAAATTCAATGTGGTATTTTCTTTCACTCCTGTTTAGCATTTTCCTTTTGTAAATGCCCTTTCAACACCTGATTACCTGATCTTTGTATTTTTTATATTTCTATTCTCATTCTCTGGATCTCTTTTGTATTTACATGGTAATCTACTGTTTGTAACGCTCAGTATAACCTGCTTTCTGCCTTATTTTATATTTTTTATTTAGCCAGGTGAGGGACAATCTGTAAGCATGAGCAGACTGATAGCCAACTTCATTATGTCCTTCTCTTATTAATGAATAGTATCTGCTGACACCAGACTCTTTTCGTGCCTGTGCATGCATGCCTTAAATCGACTGCTTTATGAAGCATTCACAATGAGTATGGGTGTACACTATACATTTATCAAAGACACTGTTGATCTTGACTACTGATGTTGAGTATTTGATTATGTTTGAAGGGAATAAATCCCAGTTAAATACGACCTCCTTCTAGTCTGCAGAATCATGAATTGATCTGAGTGTAAATATTTAGGCCTTGATGTGATGTGGAAGTAATTTTTGGAAATAATTGTGAAGATAAATTAGCAGAAATAAACTCAGTTCACTGGTACAGTTACAGGCATCACTATCTTTGATCCAGGGCTCTCATGTGTTACGGTCCTGGATAGAATCCTCAAGAAAAACAAACATTGTTTTTACTCAGAGAGTCATAATATTTTTTACATGAAGCCTGGTGGGAATATGACTCACCGCTGTCTAAGCTGTCGTGTCTATGACTAACCGCTGACTGTCAGTACGAATATCTTTTGGAAACCAGTGACTGCACTCAGTTGGTAAACAAAGAAGAAATTCTGTGCTATCTTTGACTTTTCTCATCATTTTTATTGATTTTAAAGCAGGAGACCTTTCTTGTTCAAAGAAAATGATGTTTTTTGTTACTTTACACATTTAGACCAGCCTCACACCCTTATTTTTTATCTCATTAATGTTGCTAAGAAGATTTCCTGCCTCCCAGTGACCAGTGGTAGAAAGTACATTTACTCTACTTAAGTATTGTATTTCTATACTGTACTTATTTACAACATGTATTTATTTACTTAAACATTGATCTGACAGCAAAATCTTCCAGTTTTTATTGATCATTTTTTTAGATAGAAACTCAAACGGAGCATTACATGGATCTTTATCATCTTAAGCAAATTTTCTCTTTAGACAGCGCTTATATTTTGTATTTTGCAGGTTGTCTTGTTTTTTTGATGTGGCAAATAAAGAGAGAAAGAAGGAGCGAGAGACACAACAAGGGAGTGACCTTCATTTCTCTTTACACCCTATTTCTAGGACGAGAGATGGTTGTCATGGCAACGGTTGGAAAGGGAGCAAGAGGCAGCCAGGGCTGCCGGGATGGGGCAGAGAGAAAAAGAGAGAGGGGAGAGGTCTAATTCCTCACCGTTAATAAAAGATTTCCCTCTCTCTCTGAGCTTCATTTGAAATTTAGATTCCTATAAATTATTGAGAAACTCCACCACCACGAGAGAAGAGACCAAGTGATGGAGGGAGGTGCAGTAGGAGATGTAGGGAAGGAGGGAGGAAAGGAAAGAAGAAAATGCAGAGAGGATGCATAGTGAGATGTAAACGGGGAAAAAAAGAAGCAGGGAGAGCAAAAATGAAATGAAAAATTATACTGTATGTGTGTGGGTGTGAAAATGTCAAGGCTTAATGAGATAAGTGGAGGTGTTTCTGGGTGTTTCTGGGTGTGGGAGGCTGCAGGGAGAAGAAGACAGAGGAGGAACAATTAAGAAAAGAAAGAGAAGAACATAGATGGAGGTTGGAGCAGGGAGGCGGTGTGTCATAATGCAGCTGAGAGTGGGGAGATGGAGCAGCAGGGGAGATGGAGGAGGAGGAGGAAGCGTCTGTGTGTGCAGTGGAGAGAGTAATAACAGAGGAGAGCAAGGAGCTAAATGACTCTGTAAACACTGTTTGATAGAATTAGAGCTGCACTGTGAAGCTGGGCGGGGATGTTTGTGTTCTAAGAATTTCATTGTGCCACATCTACCTTAAAGAGAATTAAATTCTACATATATCTTATTCCTCTGTGCCGTAAAGCTTCATTATTGTCCAGAAACTGTTAAAAACAAGTCAGTGAGTCACACTGTTACACAGGTGGCAGGCTCCTCCATCACCACGAACACACACACACACACACACATACACTCTCCTCCTGCCACAAAGAACATTTCATTGAAACATTTCATGATGCCTCATGTGTGAAATGGCTGATGTGAAACCTTTCAGTTTGCTTTTGATCCCAAGAGTCTGGAGTAGAGGTGAAGTCTGTTCCCCTGTAGATATGTGTTTTCCTTTACCTTAATCTGAACCCAACTTTCACCTCACCCCAAAAAAGCTTATGATGCTTAACCTGACCCAACCTTCCCCTACCCCTAACCTGTTGTCTCTGCCTGCTCCTGAACCCTGGGAATGATGTCGTTTACTATTTCCTATCCATCCATCTGTTATCTATATCACTTATCCTGTAGGGTTGTAGTGGGGGCTGGAGCCAGTCCTACTGACACTGGGCGACAGGCGGGATACGCCCTGGACAGGTCGTCTGTCTATCACACGGCTGACGCACAGAGACAAATGACCACTCACATTCACACCCATGGATAATTTAGAGGCACTACTCAACCTAACCTGCACATCTTTGGAAACAAACTTCACACAGCAAGGCTCCAGGTTCGAACCCGGAACCTTCTCTATCCAGTGACGTGCGGTCCGGGGAGGCAGGGGAGGGGCAGACCCACACCTCACACTGC